GGAAGAAACACAAAATAACTGTCAATCTCCCTCGGCCTGGGGCTCCATGCAAGATCTCACCTTGTGGAGTTGCAATGATCATGAGAACGGTGAGGAATCAGCCCAGAACTACACGGGAGGATCTTGTCAATTATCTCAAGGCAGCTGGGACCATAGTCACCAAGAAAACAATTGGTAACACACGACGCCGTGAAGGACTGAAATCCTGCAGCGCCTGCAAGGTCCCCCTGCTCAAGAAAGCACATATACATGCCCGTCTGAAGTTTGCCAATGAACATCTGAATGATTCAAAGGAGAACTGGGTGAAAGTGTTGTGGTCAGATGAGACCAAAATGGAGCTCTTTGGCATCAACTCAACTCGCCATGTTTGGAGGAGGAATGCTGCCTGTTACCCCAAGAACACCATCCCCACCGTGAAACATGGAGGTGGAAACATTATGCTTTGGGCGTGTTTTTCTTCTAAGGTGACAGGACAACTTCACCGCATCAAAGGGACGATGGACAGGGCCATGTACCATCAAATCTTGGGTGAGAACCTCCTTCCCTCAGCCAGGGCATTGAAAATGGGTTGTGGATGGGTATTCCAGCATGACAATGACCCAAAACACACGGCCAAGGCAACAAAGGAGTGTAGTAACCAAAAAAGTGTTAAACAAATCAAAATATATTTTATATTTGAGATTCTTCAAAGTAGCCACCCTTTGCCTTGATGAAAGCTTTGCACACTCTTGGCCTCATGAGGTAGTCTCCTGGAATGCATTTCAATTAACAGGTGTGCCTTCTTAAAAGTCAATTTGTGTAATTTCTTTCATTCTTAATGCGTTTCAGCCAATCAGTTGTATTGTGACAAGATAGGGGTGGTATACAGAAGATAGCCCTATTTGGTAAAAGACCAAGTCCATATTATGGCAAGAACAGCTCAAATAAGCAAAGAGAAACGACAGTCCATCATTACTTTAAGACATGAAGGTCAGTCAATCCGGAAAATTTCAAGAACTTTAATGTTTCTTCAAGTGCAGTCGCAAAAAACATCAAGCGCTATGATGAAACTGGCTCTCATGAGGAACGCCACAGGAAAGGAAGACCCAGAGTTACCTCTGCTGCAGAGGATAAGTTCATTAGAGTTACCAGCCACAGAAATTGCAGCCCAAATAAATGCTTCACAGAGTTCAAATAACAGACACATCTAAAAATCAACTGTTCAGAGGATACTGCGTGAATCAGGCCTTCATGGTCGAATTGCTGCAAAGAATTTAACACTTTTTTGGTTACAACATGATTCCATATGTGTTATTTCATAGTGTTGATGTCTTCACTATTATTCTACCATGTAGAAAATAGTAAAAACAAAGAAAAACCCTTGAATGAGTAGGTGTGTCCAAACTTTTGACTGGTACTGTATGTAGGCTAATGAGCTTGTCTTATGCTTTAAGCACACAGTGATTCAATAATTAAGACACACAAATGACTCAAGAGGGAGCCAGAGATCAAGATAGCCTAACTAGATGAAAAAAACCTGTTCCCAACCCTCCTCCTCCCCTTGCTGCTGGCCTTCGCTCCTGAAGTTGCCGGTAATGGGATACACCACGGGTCGGCAACCTTTTCAATTTGGAGTACCAATGTAATCTTACCTTTTCTACTGATCTGCGTGCTAGTTATGATTTTCAAAATGCACCTTTTCGTGGAACAGTTTCATTTAATTTATAATAAAGTCTAAGTATCTCAAAATCATTATCATGTGGTTAATCAAAATTCTAAAAGTAACTTTATTGCCATTGCCAACTATGTAGGCAAAAAATAGCATACATAAAGCCAACAAATAAAAACATTGCAGCCTGGAGGTAGAAAATATCTTGATAGAAATAAATATCCTATAAATCACATTGGCTACACATGGCCTGTCTGCAAGGAACTTGAAACATTGTATCAACTTTCAACTTTGTCTGGCCTGAAGCTCATGCTAGCAAACTAAAGAGTTTCCCGCGCCAGTGAGCTCAGGACAGACACAGCTGTAGACTATTTGTGCAAGGGATAAGAAGTAATCAGGTAGGCCTATTTTACCACGCTTCCACCGGATCAGAGGATGACATTTTTCCCCTTTTCACACCAGTGGTTATCGATTTTTCAAATTGACAATAGTTCCTCAACGTAGCCTTTCTCAATGGATGTAAAAACAGACTTTGTTTACTTGCTGTTTGAGGTGAAGAAAAAATTACTTTGAGATGCTCCACAGTGGTGGTGAGTTAAGACAATCAGAAATACTATCAGATCCCCAAATGGGCACATTTATAGGTCTACATTTGCACGCAGGCCAGGTATCCTAGGCCTACTTCTATACATAATCAGGCGTGCATCCTTAAATCAACATTGACAGGAGCGCTACAAACAAAAAGACAACTCTGTAAATGGAATTAAATAAACCAAAACTTGTTCCTCACAAGTGTAGCTTAGGTTGTGCGGTCCGCAAACAACGTGTCCACTCCGACAATGAGAACTGTAAAAGACCTCAAAAATAATAATAATAATAAAATTGAATGCATTAACAGAAATTACCTTAACCAAACAAACATTGTAGATTAGAATGGTAAATGTACTACTGGTGATACTGGTGTGCCATCCCCGCGGCCTCCACAATGGATTAGTCCACTGAGACCGGCATGAATCAGATAGGTTTCTTGTGTGCCATTAAAACATTTATATTTGCGACTGCTCGAACAACAGCCTATCGACCAAACAATCGACCAGCTGACTAAATGGGGTCCGCCCTAAAACACACATCTCAAGTTAGGATTCAGCCCCAAGGTTCCAAAGCTCCCCCTCTGATTAGTAGTGTCACTGTCAAAGACCAATACATTTCCAACAGCTCTTTCTTCCATGGAGACTATTATGCAACCCATAACCAAACCCCAGTTGGCTCGCAGTGTTGAATTCTCTCCTTCAAGGAAATTATTGCATAGACAATGGACTTCCACTTTATTCGGGTATATGGGTTATGAAGGGTGGTCATTGGATGGAAAAATCTACTAAGTAATAGTGAGGTAATTTAGGCTGTGCTAAAAATCTAAACACAGATTGGTGGAAAAACATCCTGCCAACAGCAACATTCAGGACTTGACAAAACTTAAATGGAAAAACATGTCACATGATCTTTGGGCAGCAATGTAGTACAGGAGAGTAATCAAGCTTTAATCCTAGCTCTATTGCTTACCATGATCTGTCAAACACAAACATGAAGTAGGGTTGGGCGGTATCCAGATTTTAATATCATACCGTCCTTCTCTCATACCGGGATTTACGGTATTACAGGCTTAGTACACAAGGGGGCGCCAAAGAAAAGCAAAAAAAAAAAAACATTGGGCGAATTTCAATGGGGCAGCTGGCTAAATCTGCTAACAGGCCCAAACGAAAATAAAGTAATTGCAAAGACAGGCAATCCAGCTCATAAAGTTGTACATATATATAGGTAGGAGCAACCAAAAGTTATTTTTGGTGAGTTTGGACATTTACAAGTGAATGTGAACGTGAGACATTGTGCAAATGAACAAAGTTAAGATGCATGCTTGTCTGAAGGAACAACAGTACTGGCTCTGAAGCAGCATATGTAGACTACACATTGTGTCTGTGTGGAGTCTGGAGTCGCTAGGGCAACAGGCCTGCCTGCTCTGAGAAGAGGAGAGAACACGGCAGAAAGCTAACACAATATGATGCCCCATCACTTTATTAACTCAGCCACTTACTTAGATTAACTAGTAAGTAAACTTTAGGGGTCGCTTTAATGCAGAATATTTTTTTTTTAAACGGAATATCTTGCTGCGTTATGTAAACGCAGATGTAAAATGCCTGATGTGTAGCTACTTTTCTCGGTGTAGCTGGCCTACTTTTCTCTAGTAAAATATTAACTTTAAGCAAAACATTTGAAAGGATGTAGCCAGCTACATTTCCTATGATAAACAGACATATGATGGCCATGCATCATTTTTGCAAAAAATACCTTGCTTTTTTCATTGTAAGCTCAGTTACTTGTTGCTGCCAGCCAAATAGCGTTGCACTTCTTTTGTCATCTGATTAAAATGAAGCCTAATGTGTTGCACTAATGTATTTTCTCTGAAGGAAAACTATAGATGCACATCCCTGATCACTCTATTGAAGCAAAAAAACACGACTTTCAATATAAAATGCGACACGTCAATACACAGCTGGAACTATGGTAAGCTTCATAGTGTAAAATAATGTGACCGGTGAAATGAAGAATGCAATCGGCTTCATCTCCTAAAGTATTGCACAAGTTGACTGCGGGTTTTTAATTTAAAAAGTAGCTACAAATATTAAAATGTGTTGAAAAACGTCAAATAAAAAGTTTCAATGCTATTGACAGTATTGAAAAAACAGACTATTTCCAAATACCCCGGTATATGGTATACCGCCCAAGCCTAACATTAAGTCAAGTGATCACAAACTAGTCTGACCAGTAACATTGATAGTAGGTTACACACCTCCAGTGTAGAATTAACGCAGAATGGCACAACTTACCCGATTTGAAGCTTGACAATAAGCAGCTAAATTGTTTTGGATGAGAGTCCTTTAACTAAAGTATTCTGCAGCGAACAAGCCCTCCTCTACAAACTCACCACTGTAGGAACCTCAGGAGATCAACAACCACTGCATAATAAAGCATAAGAAAAAGATTTGTATTTATTTTGTATTGTCCTCCTCCTCTCACAGCATATGCCCTGTAGGAGACTTAACTCCTCTGCAGTTCTAGGCCTCCTTTAAAAGTAATTCTCCCTCGTGATGAATGTTGAACCAAGAGAACAGGTCTGAGGCATCAGTCAACAGAGCTGATCTCCCCAGAGAGTGGTCTGTGCTCGGCAGTGGTTTCAGGGAGAGACCGGGGGATGGTGGAGGGTGGGTGATTTTAGCTGGCAGCCTGGCTGTCTGTGGGTGGTGTATTGTCGGATGACGGGGCAGACTCCAGTGTTGGGGAGGACGGGGTAGAGTCACTAGAGGGCACTGGTGCTGGGGATGAGTCCTCCGGGCGCAGGGGCAGCAGCGTCAGCCCCTCCTGGGGAGGCTCCCTCGTTCTCGTCCTCCTGGGGGTAGAGCTCGGGGTACTTCTGCATACACTCCTGCATACCGCGGAAGTTGTTGATACACTCTGAACCCTTCACCTCCTCATTGCTGTAGTGGAAGCAGGAGAAGGCCTCCTTGAACTGTGTCCCACAGGGCCCGCTAGCCATCCCTCCCAGGCATGGACAATTCCAGTTGATCTCTCCACTAGGCAGGATCAGGCCTAGAGGAATAGAAATATAAGAGGAAAGGGAAGGGGGATACCTAGTCAGTTGCACAACTGAATGCATTCAACCAAAATGTGTCTTCCGCATTTAACCCAACCCCTCTGAATCAGAGAGGTGCAGGGAGCTGCCTTAACGTCATCGGCGCCCGGAGAGCAATTGCTGTTGGGGGTTAACTGCCTTGCTCAAGGGTAGAACGGCAGTTTTTTTCCCACCTTGCTAGCATGTACAGCGTATTCGGAAAGCATTCAGACCCCTTGACTTTTTCCACATTGTTACGTTACAGCCTTATTCTAAAATGGATTACATCGTCCCCCCCCCAATCATCAACCTACACACAATACCCCATAATAAGAAAGCAAAAACAGGTTTTTATAAATTTTGACAAATGTATAAAATGATAAATAAATATCACATTTACATAAGTATTCAGACCCTTTACTCAGTACTTTGTTGAAGCACCTTTGGCAGCAATTACAGCCTCGAGTCTTCTTGGGTTTGACGCTACAAGCTTGGCACACCTGTGTTTGGGGAGTTTCTCTCATTCTTCTCTGCAGATCCTCTCAAGCGCTGTCAGGTTGGATGGGGAGCGTCGCGGAACAGCTATTTTCAGGTCTCTACAGATATGTTCGATCGGGTTCAAGTCCGGGCTCTGGCTGGGCCACTCAAGGACATTCAGAGACTTGTCCCGAAGCCACTCCTGTGTTGTCTTGGCTGTGTGCTTACGGTCGTTGTCCTGTTGGAAGGTGAACTGTCGCCCCAGTCTGAGGTCCTGGAGCAGGTTTTCATCAAGGATCTCTCTGTACTTTGCTCCGTTCATCTTTCCCTTGATCCTGACTAGTCTCCCAGTTCCTTCTGCTGAAAAACCACCATGCTTCACTTTAGGGATGGTTTTGGCCTGGTTTTCTCCAGACATGACGCTTGGCATTCAGGCCAAAGAGTTCAATCTCGGTTTCATCAGCCCAGAGAATCTTGTTTCTCATGGTCAGAGTCCTTTAGGTGCCTTTTGGCAAACTTCAGGCCCTTTTCCCCCCGATTGCTCAGTTTGGCCAGGTGGCCAACTCTAGGAAGAGTCTTGATGGTTCCAAACTTCTTCCATTTAAAAATGATGGAGGCCACTGTGTTCTTGGGGCACCTTCAATGCGGCAGACATTTTTTGCTACCCTTCCCCAGATTTGTGCCTAGAAACAATCCTGTCTCGGAACTCTACGGACAATTGCTTCGACCTCATGGCTTTTGCTCTGACATGCACTGTCAACTGTGGGACCTCACATAGACAGGTGTGTGCCTTTCCAAATCATGTCCAATCAATTACCACAGGTGGACTCCAATGAAGTTGTAGAAACATCTCAAGGATGATCAATGGACACAGAATGCCCCTGAGCTCAATTTCGAGTCTCATGGCAAAGGGTCTGAATACTTATGTAAATAAGGTATTTCTATTTTATGAGGATTTTTCAAAATTTAATCCATTCTAGAATAAGGCTGCAACGTAACAAAATGTGGAAAAAGTGAAGGGGTCTGAATACTTTCCGAATGCACTGTATTGACATGGTTGTAACTTCATCATTCACCTCTTTGGTATCTTTGTAATGACTACACTACTGATGAGTGTTCCATAATTCTTCTCCATCCCTGACATGAATTCACAGCCCACTCACCATGGTCTTCGTAGGGGTCATTGGGGTCGTCTGCAATGAGCTCAGCGTTGCTGGGTGCTTCATGGTCTTCCTTGGTAACGAAGATGATGCGATCTTTACCTGGCAAGGAGAAAACACAGGTTAGAGGATGGCATGAAAATATGGCATCTCTAAGGAAACAATGGCTAAGGAGCTATGACCATGAGATACTAAATGCACTTCCCCTCCCCTGTCTCCAGGCATGTTTTATTAAAGCAAAGTGGGAGACCAATTATACAAATTCATGGTTAATATTGTCTGACTGACCCAATAAACACAAGTGCATTTATCTATTGGATCAATGCAAGTGGTTGGCTATTAATATGTTGGCCATAAATGCTGCTAAGTTAACAATTCGACAACAGCTGTTTTTCACCAGAGTTCTGTAAACAGAGTGCTGAATCAATGTCCACTAACTATGTTTAACCAGCAGGGTCCAGATTTAAAACAAACTGAACTGTCACCCAACATGACCCTTTGATTGCTAGAAGATACCGAACCTACCGCTACGCTTGTTTACACTGAGGTCGGAACGCAAATCATGGTTACATTAAGACACCGTAGAGCCGGCGCGAGATATGGGTCGGAAAACGTACCTCAATGCAGGGATGGAATATGCCACTGTACTTCAAATTGTACCATTATCCACACTGCTCCATCGAGAAGATTGAAATACTGCTAGTTTCTCTGTAAACGGCCCTTTTCATCATCATGCTAGCTAGCAGTAGCCACAGCTGCCATTATGGAATGGCATGTTGTGTTGAACATAAGTCATTGGACGAAAGGAGTCTTCTGTACGGGGGAGTTTTGTTAAGAACCCCGTTGCTCAATAAGAACATTAAAACGCGTTGCTTGCGGTACAGTTTTGGAAGCATAAGGACATTATCTTTCATATCAGCACGAAATTATTTTAAAAAAATAAAAGGTTAAATTGATACACACCTTGATAGGCTTAGTGTTCCCACATGGCCATATCACCACGTTACAGAGTTTGTTTACGGAAGAGGCGACCACCTGTGCTAATTAGCTATCTAGTATGCTCTGAACATCAGTCTGTAAGCATAACTCGGGAAGTGTAGCTTCGTCGGATGGAGGTACCTATAGCGGTATGGATATGCGCAAAACTGCTATAAAGGCCTTTTCACACTGCATTGTTCTTAGCCCCGGGCTATCTTAGCCACAGGCTAGACTGGCCCTGGGCTAGCTTAGCCTGTGTTCACACAAGTATTTGTTAACCCTGTGCTAAGCTTTAGCCCTGGGCTAAGGAATGACACTTGTATTCCACAGCCCTGGGATAACAGACAAATATGTGACCAATGTTATAAGCAATAAGACATTTATTAACACATTATTTCATCTTGCGTCTAGCCTAGCATTTGATTTCCAATAGTGATGGTTTGTATAAAAACTTTGCCATCTGTCTGAAACAATGTTTCACTTTGAAATTCGATCTCGCCACTGTACAGAGAATGCTGTGCATGAACGAGACATCAACTTTTCTGATCTAGGCGGAATCATGCAACAATATTATCATCATGGATATATCCATTTAAAAGTAAAAGCTATGAAAAAAGACAAATGGAACATTTGCTGCCTTTCCAGTTGTAGTGTTTGTAGCTTTAGTTGGCTAAGTGAGAAGACATTAGCCAGCCTGCTGCACAATAACCATGTTTGTTAGGCACAGCAACCAATTTTTTGCATGGATTAAAGTATTTTGGTTTTTGTCCTCAGATCAAATTTTATTGGCCACATGCGCCGAATACAACAGGTGCAGACATTACAGTGAAATGCTTACTTACAGCCCTTAACCAACAGTGCATTTATTTTTTATAAAAAAGTAAAATAAAACAACAACAAAAAAGTGTTGAGAAAAAAAAGAGCAGAGGTAAAATAAAATAACAGTAGGGAGGCTATACAGTGGGGGAAAAAAGTATTTAGTCAGCCATCACGGATCAGTCGTCCTGGTCCCTTTGCAGAAAAACAGCCCCAAAGCATTTTACATTTACATTTACATTTTAGTCATTTAGCAGACGCTCTTATCCAGAGCGACTTACAGTTAGTGAGTGCATACATTTTTTCATACTGGCCCCCCATGGGAATCGAACCCACAACCCTGGCGTTGCAAACGCCATCCTCTACCAACTGAGCTACAGTTCAGAGCTACAGTTCAGTTGGTTAAATGTCTTGCAACATTATGTAGTGTGAAAGTAAATCGCACATCACATTGATATACCCTCACAACCCTTTTCCTGATATTTATTTATTCACACATTACGTTTTTGTTTTTCCATCCTAGAGATACACTATAAACGTTAAAATTTAAACAAAATCAACAGAACTTGGAAAATGCCAGTGGAAAACAATCCTAGTTATAGTCTCAAAAAACAAACGCCAGAGTACCACATGAAATCATCATAAGCTCCTCTGGTGAGGATGTTCGAATAGTGAATACAGTGCACGGAACGTTTAGTTAACATACTCATACAAGAATACAGGAATTATCAAAAGAAAAAAATGCATGCCTCCATTTTCAACAGCGTCTCAACAACTATGACAATCATGCTACATCATTGCAGGTATTCACTGTACTTCCATTGGATAGTTATATAGAGTAAGAAAATGTGATAAAATGCTTATGGCCACTAGAGCATGGAAGCATATGACCAGACACACACATATACAACAGTATACTCATTGGCAGACTGAAAAACGACCCCTTCCCATTTCCTTCCCACACCCACCCTACATGATTGCCCCTCTACCCATCCAGCAGCTTGAGGATGCTGTCTCTCTCCTTCAGTGCTTTCCATGCCTGATCCTTCTCCTTCTTTGTCGGTGTGCGTTTCTTCTGCCTGGCAGCCATAATGCGACGGAAGCCCTCCATGACCTCATTATCAGACACCCGGACCCTCTGCCGCAACTCCTGCTTCCGCATCTCCTCCTTTGCCAGGCGGAGTAACTCCTGCTCAAAGCATGATGTTTCCACCCCCATGCTTCACAGTAGGTATGGTGTTCTTTGGATGCAACTCAGCATTCTTTGTCCTCCAAACACGACGAGTTGAGTTTTTACCAAAAAGTTATATTTTGGTTTCATCTGACCATATGAGTTTGGAGTGTGACTGTTTGAGGTTGTGGACAGGTGTCTTTTATACTGATAACAAGTTCAAACAGGTGCCATTAATACAGGTAACGAGTGGAGGACAGAGGAGCCTCTTAAAGAAGAAGTTACAGGTCTGTGAGAGCCAGAAATCTTGCTTGTTTGTAGGTGACCAAATACTTATTTTCCACCATAATTTGCAAATAAATTCATAAGAAATCCTACAATGTGATTTTCTGGATTATTTTCCCTCATTTTGTCTGTCATAGTTGACGTGTACCTATGATGAAAATTACAGGCCTCTCTCATCTTTTTAAGTGGGAGAACTTGCACAATTGGTGGCTGACTAAATACTTTTTTCCCCCCACTGTATATACAGGGGGGTACCGGTGCAGAGTCAATGTGCGGGGGCACCGGCTAGTTGAGGTAGTTGAAGTAATATGTACATGTGGGTAGAGTTAAAGTGACTATGCATAAATAATTAACAGAGTAGCAGCAGCGTAAAAATATGGGGTGGGGGGGCAGTGCAAATAGTCTGGGTAGCCATGATTAGCTGTTCAGGAGTCTTATGGCTTGGGGGTAGAAGCTGTTGAGAAGTCTTTTGGACCTAGACTTGGCACTCCGGTACCGCTTGCCGTGCGGTAGCAGAGAGAACAGTCTATGACTAGGGTGGCTGGAGTCTTTGACAATTTTGAGGGCCTTCCTCTGACACCGCCTGGTATAGAGGTCCTGGATGGCAGGAAGCTTGGCCCCAGTGATGTACTGGGCCGTACGCACTACCCTCTGTAGTGCCTTGCGGTCGGAGGCCAAGCAGTTGCCATACCAGGCGGTGATGGAACCAGTCAGGATGGTCTCGATGGTGCAGCTGTATAATTTTTTGAGGATCTGAGGACCCATGCCGAATCTTTTCAGTCTCCTGAGGGGGAATAGGCTTTGTCGTGCCCTCTTCACGACTGTCTTGGTGTGTTTGGACCATGATAGTTCGTTGGTGATGTGGACACCAAGGAACTTGAAGCTCTCAACCTGTTCCACTACAGATGAGAATGGGGGCGTGCTCAGTCCTCTTTTTTTTCCTGTAGTCCACAATCATCTCCTTTGTCTTGGTCACGTTGAGGGAGAGGTTGTATCCTGGCACCACACGGCCAGGTCTCTGACCTCCTCCCTATAGGCTGTCTCATCGTTGTCGGTGATCAGGCCTACCACTGTTGTGTCGTCGGCAAACTTAATGATGGTGTTGGAGTCGTGCCTGGCCATGCAGTCATGGGTGAACAGGGAGTACAGGAGGGGACTGAGCACGCACCCCTTAGGGACCCCCTTGTTGAGGATCAGTGTGGCAGATGTGTTGTTACCTACCCTTACCACCTGGGGGCGGCCCGTCAGGAAGTCCAGGATCCAGTTGCAGAGGGAGGTGTTTAGTCCCAGGATCCTTAGCTTAGTGATGAGCTTTGAGGGCTCTATGGTGTTGAATGCTGAGCTGTAGTCAATGAATAGCATTCTCACGTAGGTGTTCCTCTTGTCCAGGTGGGAAAGGGCAGTGTGGAGTACAATAGACATGGCATCATCTGTTGATCTGTTGGGGCGGTATGCAAATTGGAGTGGGTCTAGGGTTTCTGGAGTGGGTCTGGTGTTGATGTGAGCCATGACCAGCCTTTCAAAGCACTTCATGGCTACAGACGTCAGTGCTACGGGTCGGTAGTCATTTAGGCAGGTTATCTTAGTGTCCTTGGGCACGGGGACTATGGTGGTCTGCTTGAAACATGTTGGTATTACAGACTCAGTCAGGGACATGTTGAAAATATCAGTGAAGACACTTGCCAGTTGGTCAGCACATGCTCGGAGTACACGTCCTGGTAATCCGTCTGGCCCTGTGGCCTTGTGAATGTTGACCTGCTTAAAAGTCTTACTCACATCGGCTACGGAGAGCGTGATCACATAGTCATCCGGAACAGCTGGTGCTCTCATGCATGCTTCAGTGTTGCTTGCCTCGAAGCGAGCATAGAAGTGGTTTAGCTCGTCTGGTAGGGTTGTGTCACTGGGAAGCTCGCGGCTGTGCTTCCCTTTGTAGTCTGTGATAGTTTTCAAGCCCTGCCACATCCGACGAGCGTCAGAGCCGGTGTAGTACGATTCAATCTTAGTCCTGTATTGACTCTTTGCCTGTTTGATGGTTCGTCGGAGGGCATAGCGGGATTTCTTATAAGCGTCCGGGTTAGAGTCCCGCTCCTTGAAAGCGGCAGCTCTACCCATTAGCTCAGTGCGGATGTTTCCTGTAATCCATGGCTTCTGGTTGGGGTATTGGTAAATTCAATTGATTGGACATGATTTGGAAAGGCACACACCTGTCTATATAAGGTCCCACAGTTGACAGTGCATGTCAGAGCAAAAACCAAGCCATGAGGTCAAAGGAATTGTCCGTAGAACTCCGAGACAGGATTATGTCGAGGCACAGATCTGGGGAAGGGTACCAAAATATTTCTGCAGCATTAAAGATCCCCAAGAACACATTGGCCTCCATCGTTCTTAAATGGAAGAAGTTTGGAACCACCAAGACTCTTCCTAGAGCTGGCGCAGTGGTCTAAGGCACTGCATCGCAGTGCTAGCTGTGCCACTAGAGATCCTGGTTCGAATCCAGGCCCAGCGTCGTCCAGGGTAGGGGAGGGAATGGCCGGCAGGAATGTAGCTCAGTTGGTAGAGCATGGCGTTTGCAACGCCAGGGTTGTGGGTTCGATTCCCAGGGGGGGCCAGTATGAAAAATTAAATAAAAATAATGTATGCACTCACTAACTGTAAGTCGCTCTGGATAAGAGCGTCTGCTAAATGACTAAAATGTAAAAATGTATGTACGTACGGTCACTGTGGGGACTTTATTGATGAAGCCAATGATTGATGTGGTGTACTCCTCAATGCTATCTGAAGAGATAGGATTAAATAGTATTTATTTACTTATCAAAATAACAGTGCAGCTTTTGTGATTGGACTGAGCATTGTAGTAGTTGTTCTTGACCCTGATTCACACTGGCTAACCCCGAAAAGTGCTCCGGAGCAGGGCCGGCTAGTCCTGGGCTAAGGTTGGTGCTAGCCCACTTTATAAAAAGTGTGAACACTTGCTTAGCCTCAGGCTAAAATCTCCCTTAGCCCTGGCCTAGGGTGCAGTGTGAACACACCATACGTGTATCTTTTTTTATTTGAAGGATTGGTTCTTGCTGATGAAAGGTAAGGGCCATATGTTTCGAAAGCCATATTGCAAGCAACGATTGACGTTTCTAAATGTTAAAACAGTGTTGGGGTTGTAGTTCACACACACACACAGAGTAGTTGTGGGCAAAGCAAATGGCTGAATGCCACCTAGTCTGAGAACTAAATGGAACCATGATTGTGTTCTGACCTCAGTGTAAACAAGCGTAACGGTAAGGTCGGTATCTTCTGGCAAGCACTTTGACAGCTCTGCCTGAAATAAAGTAATCTACTAGCCTTGCTAGTTAATTAGCTATCTGGCTAACATGGAAGATAATGTGCTCGTCTCGTACTAATAGTCTTCTTTTACAAATCAGATTAATCCTGAGATAATCTGATTGCCCTATTTATAGACCTCTTCAAACCCTATAACTGGCTGCTGTAACTAAACACCATCAAATTACTGCACCAATAAAGCTGGAACAAGTAACGCTGACATGCTAGCATGCTAACTAGCTACCTAACGTTTCCATGCTAGCCCCTTCAATGACATTACACAAGCGAAATGAATGAAAAGCTAAGGTGTGCTATTACCCTCTTGCTTGCAGTACGACATGACAGACGGTGGTGATATCCGTCGGTCCTCTACTTGTACCATAAGCAATGACGGTTTTTGTACAACAATTAGCTACAGTGCATGTAGACATTAAATAACCGCCCGTTTTTCGTTGCCTTTGACCCCTCTGTGCTTTGACTTCTGGACGCAGTCTAATGACGTTTTCTGGGCAGCCACTGGTGATTTGTGCAGCTGATCCAGGATCAGATTACACAACCCCCATAATGAGGATAAAACATCAATCTGAGCCTGGACCAGTAGTGAGGGGCAACTCCTACCAACTCCTGTGGAGTACCAGATGACTATTTTGCAGTACTCTACCAAAAAAGAAGTGCAACTTGTACTGCACTCTTCTAGCAGTATGTACCACAATAATATTGGTATATACCTTTTGATGCATATTGTAGTGTAATTTATGCCATGTGAATGTTCAACACAGAATGTTGTTTTCTAGCATTTATTGAAAAACATTGGCCTGAACAAAGACATGGGCCCTATGTCCATGGTAGTGTTTTATTTGGGGTCACTGCTATGCTTTTTCAGTGGGGTGCATGACAGTAGATTATCTAACTACTGTAAAGTAAAAAAAAGAAGAAATCGAGTAAAATTGTTTTAACAAAAATTGGGTCCAATACAGAAAGTAAAAACCACTAAATTAAACCCCATTCCATCCCTACCAAACCTAGGCAGTTTCTACATTGATTCAGTCTGGGAATAAAAGACCACAACACAAACGCTTCCCTTTATGACCCAGAGACAAAGGACAAACATATGCCCTTGATAAAACTAGCAGGAATACAAATATATTCCATGATTTAAAAAAATAAAATAAAGGTACATGAAAACTAACAAAGCTTGTTGGAGATTCCCAGAGCCATTGAAGGAATACATGTACAAGTATATTTATACTTTTTTTTACCCCAATATATGGCTCTTCAAACCCCATGCACAGCTTACAATGACCTGAAATTAACATGACATGGCTTTCTTTCCACTCTCCAAAAATGTCCAGGTGTAGTGCTTGTGTTGGTTTAAGAACAGACTCCTTTAAATGGTGTCTGTCTTCAATTTCCTTGAGCAAGCTTCTGCCAACCACAACTGATGTCAGTCAATGACATGACAGACCTTTGTGCCTTTAACCCTTCTATAGAAGATAAGACCATCTTTGAGTAGCCTGGCTGGTCAGATGAAGAGAGGAGGGTAATATAATTGAAAAACAAAACAAATGGGACAGAACAGGCGCAATTCCATGCTGAACACTGGGTCAAGTGCCATCTTTCTTTCCCAGTGAGATCTAGTCTGCATATGAGCCCTCAACAGCTTCTGGGAACACAATGAAGCTGAGAAAGAGGACGCGTCGCAGAGGCAGAATGTACTGATTTGTGCGCATTAGATACAATGCAAAATAAAAAGTAAGTAATTTGTAGTGTGGACGCTGTGTGTCTGTGGAGGAGGGTGTTTCTAGAATAGCAGCGCTCCCATGCTGCCCATTTCACTCTGCTCCTTGACAAAGATCTCGAAGTACTGGTAGATGATGGTGACGGCCAATAGGATTCCAGTACCCGAACCGATGGCGCCCAGAAAGTCCGCCATGACGGACAGCCCACCTATGCATAGGCCACCGAAGGCTGCAGCCGTGGGGATGTACCTTCACAAAGAGCACAAGATTTTAGAAATGTATAGAAAGATATACACAGCAATAATTATTGACACTTGGGGCAGAGTGCAACCAAAGGTGCGTATGTTTTTACCGGTTGAGCTCATGCACCATGGAGGTCTCTCTGTGTCCCCTCATCACCATCTGCTGTTCCTTCAGCTGCTTAGCCACCTGTCAGACATGCACAGTTAGCAACTACCATACTTCAGTGTACCTATGTGCATCTAACAGTTGAAACAAATACATCTGGTGCATCAAGGGACTCACATCTTTGGCAGAGGATCCTGAAACCTCAATCCATGTCTTGGAGAAGAAGGCACAGGAGCCCAGCATGAAGACGATGTAGATTGCAGCATGGATGGGGTCATCTAGAACAGAACCAAAGGACTCTGGGGGAGAGAGGTAGTAGCAGAGACCTCCAACCGGGTAGGCACGAGCTGGTCCTCCAGTGGAAGTATCCTATACACAAACACACAATCCATTAAGTATAGATTCTCTATATAAGCATAGCACAATCAGGGCTGTTAGGAGTAAAACAGGGCTCAAGACTGACCATTGAGTTACATTTTGCAACCATTTGACTTAGCTGTGCGAGTTACATGTGTTCTACATTGCAACCTCACTCAAACCATCTCTATTGGATAAAAAAACATCACAAAATTCTGGAGGCCAATTTTGACAGTGAAATATAACAATAGCCTAATTGCCAATCCCGATTTCATGACAATCACTGGATTAGGTTGCACATCAAAATCTTAAATTATGCATTCCTGCTTGTTAGTGCGGAGCGATTAGTGCTTTTTGAAGTCAGTTCGGTTTCGAGTATAAAAACAAACAAGTGTCCACTTTTTTTTTTTCTTCTATTAAATGCACTATGTGGATTGAGTACTGTAACACAGAAAAACAATTACTAAAAGTCCCATGATGGTAGTGACTGCCCATTACTGCTTATCACTTACTAACCATAATTTATTGACATTACTTTAATAAAAATATTTCAGTTGTGTATTACATTTGATGACTTTATTATTTCATTCCAAGTCATCTCATCTCTATAGCGCTGCCGTCTATGCTGTCTGACAATCACTATTTAAGTAGTTCTTTAAAGTAAATAAATAAGGCATACTTTTATGACTGCTGAATACCAACTATCAAAATCACTTAGCGTGGTATCTTGACCTGAAAATACATTGTCTAAGCAACTGCTCAATCACTCTCGATCATGCATTCTTCGGTCTCTTTCACGTAGCAGGCGTAAAAGAAACAGACCGGACAAGTAGGCGCAGAATGGATTATGTTCATTGTAGCTAATTACCACGTTTTTTTGCGCTAAACTATGTAGAATATTGGCCTGTTGGAAACCACGTCGCACAGTTCGGGCTTGATCTGATTTCTCTCTACAGAAACTACACATTGAGCTGACAAAAAAATTTTTAAAAATAAAAATGGATTCAAATAATTGAACCCATGTCAGTCAATTACGAAAAATAACCATTGCCCAGCAATACTGCTTCGACAGATAAAACAACTTCTTGAATACCATCTCAGTAGTCTATTACACTTCTTAACCCTTTACACTCGTACCCGTATATGGGTTAAAAATTGCAGATTTTGGCACTGATAAACACCTAAATTGGAACGCAGTGGCTGTACGGTAACATGCTATACATGACGTCAGAGCTCTGGCTCTGCGCTTCACATCACTGAATGGGTTTTGACTGACTGCCGTTCTGAACTTCAGCACCTCTCACGACAAGAGGTTGGCAGTACTGCACCCGCCAATCATGACTCCTTTCTATGCGCACCAAAATTATGATACTTTCCCTGAATTGCATTGTGAAAGCCTAACACTGAAATATCATATGTTATAACTTAGCTCGTCATGTTGTCAATAGAACAGGCTTTCAAATTATGCCCACCTGACCCAGATTGTGATTTATAATGTACTGTTTTTGGATTGCGTAAACAGTAATTGTGTGATGCTGGGGATGCAGGGTTGTGTTCCAAACAAAACAACTACAAATGTGCTTGCTGTAGTTCCTCAACAGCACAGCTAAGAGTCATGTCATAAAAGGGCATTGAAATTACTTAGGAACTGTGCACAATTTGGAGAGGTGTGGCCACTTTGACATTTTTTGGTTTTACGTTGTTCTACCCCACATTTTCCAGGAATATTCTTATCATGGTACTGAATGTATCCAGAGTATTTTCAGATTAAAATGCACATAAAATCAACAGTGTAATGTTTGGATTCAGTCTTGTGTCAGGTGAACGGTTGTATCCTCACCTTTAGTCTAATAATTTTCCAATAATCTCCAAACTGTTCCCTTTCAATGCTACAGTGAGGGAAAAAAGTATTTGATCCCCTGCTGATTTTGTACATTTGCACACTGACAAAGAAATGATCAGTCTATAATTTTAATGGTAGATTTATTTGATCAGAGAGACAGAATAACAACAAAAAAATCCAGAAAAACACATGTCAAAAATGTTATAAATTGATTTGCATTTTAATGAGGGAAAAAGTATTTGACCCCCTCTCAATCAGAAAGATTTCTGGCTCCCATGTGTCTTTTATACAGGTAACGAACTGAGATTAGGAGCACACTCTTAAAGGGAGTGCTCCTAATCTCAGTTTGTTACCTGTATAAATGACACCTGTCCACAGAAGCAATCAATCAGATTCCAAACTCTCCACCATGGCCAAGACCAAAGAGCTCTCCAAGGATGTCAGGGACAAGATTGTAGACCTACACAAGGCTGAAATGGGCTACAAGACCATCGCCAAGCAGCTTGGTGAGAAGGTGACAACAGTTGGTGTGATTATTCGCAAATGGAAGAAACACAAAATAACTGTCAATCTCCCTCGGCCTGGGGCTCCATGCAAGTTCTCACCTCGTGGAGTTGCAATGATCATGAGAACGGTGAGGAATCAGCACAGAACTACACGGGAGGATCTTGTCAATGATCTCAAGGCAGCTAGGACCATAGTCACCAAGAAAACAATTGGTAACACACTACGCCGTGAAGGACTGAAATCCTGCAGCGCCTGCAAGGTCCCCCTGCTCAAGAAAGCACATATACAGGCCCGTCTGAAGTTTGCCAATGAACATCTGAATGATTCAGAGGTGAACTGGGTGAAAGTGTTGTGGTCAGATGAGACCAAAATCGAGCTCTTTGGCATCAACTCAACTCGCCGTGTTTGGAGGAGGAGGAATGCTGCCTATGACCCCAAGAACACCATCCCCACCATCAAACATGGAGGTGGAAACATTATGCTTTGGGCGTGTTTTTCTGCTAAGGGGACAGGACAACTTCACCGCATCAAAGGGATGATGGACGGGCCATGTACTGTCAAATCTTGGGTGAGAACCTCCTTCCCTCAGCCAGGGCATTGAAAATGGGTCGTGGATGGGTATTCCAGCATGACAATGACCCAAAACACACGGCCAAGGCAACAAAGGAGTGGCTCAAGAAGAACCACATTAAGGTCCTGGAGTGGCCTAGCCAGTCTCCAGACCTTAATCCCATAGAAAATCTGTGGCAAACGTCAGGCTTAATGACTTGGAGAAGATCTGCAAAGAGGAGTGGGACAAAATCCCTCCTGAGATGTGTGCAAACCTGGTGGCCAACTACAAGAAACGTCTGACCTCTGTGATTGCCAACAAGGGTTTTGCCACCAAGTACTAAGTCATGTTTTGCAGAGGGGTCAAATACATATTTCCCTCATTAAAATGCAAATCAATTTATAACAATTTTGACATGCGTTTTTCTGGATTTTTGTTTTGTTATTCTGTCTCTCACTGTTCAAATAAACCAACCATTAAAATTATAGACTGATCATGTCTTTGTCAGTGGGCAAACGTACAAAATCAGCAGGGGATCAAATACTTTTTTCCCCTCACTGTACCATGGTTATGCATTACCCTTTTTTTTTTTTTTTTGGCGTGTGACCAAATCTTGGGCTGGTGCTACCAACTGAAAAAGTTAGTGGCACCAGTGCCACCAGGGGGAAAATGTCTGGAGCCTTCTTAAAACCTTCCAAAGGCTAGCTCTCTTACACAGGATCACAGGATTGCTGAAAGAAATATGTCTAATCTGTCAACACTACCAGTGTGCTGTCATAGTAGTCCAAAACATGTGATCATAACCCCATTATGGCTTCAAACAGACTCTTTGTTGTTTACAGTCACACACACAGAAGTATTCAGTACCGTTTTAACCTCATGAAGGTTTAATGTGATGAGAAAAAAATAACTAAGTAGATGTATATTTTTAAATAGTACTGGTGAAATGAACGCGGGTGAGGCAAGTCTCTACCTCTGTGTGATGAACACAGAAGCAACACTCAAAGGTCATTGTGGACAGGTACTTACAGACCAGGTGCCCAGCAGGTTAACCAGAAAGTTGCCACTGAATCGCGTGGAGAGCATCTGAGAGATGACGTACAGGTTGGACACGAGGGCAGACTGGAGGATGATGGGAATGTTGGAGGTGTAGAAGAGCTTGATGGGATAGGTGTTGTACTGGCCACGGTAACGGGCAGACTTGATGGGCAAGTCCACCCTGAAGCCCTGGAAGGAGGAGGCGAAAAGTGTTCAAGACCTTTCAAAAACAACCACAGAAATCCAATGGTATTCAAAGTTGGTTTTCAAATATTCTATGCATGCAGCTTTTTGGTCTGAACATTTATGTTCACATTGTCAACAGATCCTATGGTCATATCATAGGTCACTTAGGCAACCATTTGTAAAACCAATCAAACGACAGCCAAGACGATATAGGCTATAGAGGGGGTCGTCTGTCCACTGACCTGGAAGTATATGACTACAGCAAAGACGAAGACGGTGGCGATGAGGTTCAAGAGGTTAGGCAGGTTCTGGCGGTAGAAGGCCTCTCTCAGGGCGCGCACCTTGTCTGTGCGGGTGGCCAACAGGTGGAACAGTGCAATGACGGCACCTTCAAACTCCGTTCCTGAGACACAAGAGACAAGGTTACCCAACTAACCACAGCAGAGGGAACAATCCTGACTGACGAGCAAGAGCACATTGTCAATACACATACACTATTTATTCAAAAGTATGTGGAAACCCCTTCAAATTAGTGGTTTCGGCTATTTCAGCCACACCCATTGCTGACAGGTGTATAAAAATCGAGCACACAGCCATGCAATCTCCATAGACAAACATTGGCAGTAGAATGGCCTTACTGAAGAGCTCAGTGACTCAACGTGGCACCGTCATAGGATGCCACCTTTTCAACATGTCAGTTTGTCAATTTTCTGCCCTGCTAGAGCTGCCGCAGTCAACTGTAAGTTCTGTTATTGTGAAGTGGAAACGTCTAGGAGCAACATCGGCTCAGCCGCGAAGAGGTAGGCCACACAAGCTCACAGAACGGGACTGGCGAGTGCTGAAGCGTGTAGCGCATAAAAATCATCTGTCCTCGATTGCAACACTCACCAAGTTCCAAACTGCCTCTGGAAGCAACGTCAGCACAAGAACTGTTCGTCGGGAGCTTCATGAAATGGGTTTCATAGCCGAGTAGCCGCACACAAGCGTAAGATCACCATGCGCAATGCCAAGCGTCGGCTGGAGTGGTGTAAAGCTCGCCGCCATTGGACTCTGGAGCAGTGGAAACGCGTTCTCTGGAATGATGAATCACGCTTCACCATCTGGCAGTCCGACGGATTAATCTGGGTTTGGCGGTTGCCAGGAAAGCGCTACCTGCCCCAACGCATAATGTCAACTGTAAAGTTTGGTGGAGGAGGAATAATGGTCTGGGGCTGTTTTTCATGGTTTGTGCTAGGCCCCTTAGTTCCAGTGAAGGGAAATCTTAACACTACAGCACACAATGCCATTCTAGATGATTCTGTGCTTCCAACTTTGTGGCAACAGTTTGCAGTTTCCTGTTTCAGCATGACAATGCCCCCGTGCACAAAGCGAGGTCCATACAGAAATGGTTTGTTGAGATCGGTGTGGAAGAACTTGACTTGCCTGCACAAAGCCCTGACCTCAACCCCATCGAACACCTTTGGGATGAATCGGAACACCGACTGCGAGCCAGGCGTAATCGCCCAACATCAGTGCCCGACCTCACTAATGCTCGTGGCTGAATGGAAGCAAGTCCCCAACATCTAGTGGAAAGCCTTCCCAGAAGAGTGGAGGCTGTTATAGCAGCAAAAGGGGACCAACTCCCTACTAATGCCCATGACTTTGGAATGAGATGTTCGACAAGCAGGTGTCCACATACTTTTGGTCATGTAGTTTATGTATACTAGCCTTACTGCTACCTACCTCTCCCAGTGTTGACAGTTGTGGGACTGAAGGCCTTCCAGACGATGGTCTCACAGATGTTGGTGGCAATGAACAGGGAGATACCAGAGCCTAGACCATAGCCCTTCTGCAGCAGCTCATCCAGCAGCAGCACAATCAGACCTGCCACAAACAACTGGTGAAGAAGGAGAGAGAGCTTAAAATAGGGACGGGAAAGGGTATATTGAGTCAGTTGCACAACTGAACGTATTCAACCGAAATGGGAGAGGTGCGGCATCATCAGCGCCCGGGGAGCAGTTGTTGTAGGGGGTTAACTGCCTTGCTAACTAACCTGAATGATGATGAGCAGGCAGATCCCAGCACCCATCTCTGAGGGGTCTCCGTACATGCCTGTCATCACGTACACAATGGCCTGCCCAATGGTAATGATCATGCCAAACACTGCAGAGACAAAGGAAGATTGTTCCATTCAATATCCTTGGACAGTTGTGAGTTGATAGGTGTCAAAAAATACACCCCACCCTTATGACAGGCTAGAGACCCTTATTCTAATACCCATCACATAACAAGCCCACAACTCAGAACAGTTGCCGGGTGGTTATATAATAATATATATCATTCAACTCATTATGATTAATCCCATTCCTTAGTAAAAACTGCTTCTGTGCGAGATGATTAGAGGGTGGACCTACATTTCTGCGCTCCATTGAAGAGTGCTCTGTCCTTGGGGGTGTCTCCAACCTCAATGATCTTGGCTCCAGCCAGCAGCTGCATGATGAGACCGGAGGTAACGATGGGTGAGATACCCAGCTCCATCAGAGTACCTGAAGAATGGTGGAGGATCACAGTACTCAGTTATCAGTCAAACATTATTATGAACCAACACTGTTGTAATGGAAAAGGGGATTCTACGAAGGCAAAGCTCTGAATACAGTGACATATCAGCTAAAGAATGTCAGCTTTTGCAAAGACTGCTTGTCAAAAGAGATAAGACCTGATAACATCACAGGGAATAATTATTTATCCATGTAAGAGGTGGGAACCAAACAGTAAAAGGTGTAATATAGATGGTTCTAACATGATCAGTAGCCAAGACTGAGAGCCGTTAATAAATGGAGGGAGACCGGTGTGTCAATGACGTGAGCCCGTTGTTTAGCTTAGCAACAACCACAATGGGTAAAGAAAGCTTTAGAACGCTGGAAAACCCATTCACTTACGTGTTTTGTTTGAAATTAACATGCTATATTTTTTGGTTTAGATCGTATTCATGCCATCTTAACTGGCAGTATAATAGATCCTTTAGTACAGCACTTCTAATATCCAACTCGACTTGAAGAATGTATTTTCTGTACTATAAATATTTAGTAGTGCTGAGCGATTTACCGACATTTCCTTTTTTTGGTTATTAAACAACTAATTACTTGAATTCCATTTAACCTACTATGTAAGGTTAGTTTCACACAGACCACACGAGGAATGTACACAACATGAGAGGGATGGAGATCCTGAAAGTATGCCTTATTTACTTTGAAGAACTAGTAAAAGGATTTCCTCTGACAGCTCTGCAGCATGCTTAAGCAGGCTAGCCTAACTAAATAGGATGACTAAAGACAGTACAGTATTTGGGGAGCACAGAGAATGTTGTCTGGCTGCTACTGCCTGAGCAGAGATGAGATGATGACTAAGGATTTAAAAATAATAAAGTAATCAAATAAAAACGAAGTAATATACACAACTGAACTATTTTATTATTTCATAGTAATTTCCTATTGATGTCTATCCAATTTTGACCTGACATAGACAATATAATATTTTAAATGTTTTGGCAATTGAATGTTCATTGTTTTTGCATTTGAAATTTTCATGAAAAAATAAAAAATAAACATTTGAATGTCATTGTTTCATAATGCATTTATCTTTTTTAAATTATCAAAATCTGTGATTTATTTTATCAAACCGAAATGACCTCAAAGCACTAATCACTCAGCACTATTAGCTAGCTGTCTATTACTAGCTGGTTGGATGGGCAGCCATGCAGGTTGGTACTGCATAGTTAGCTAGCATTACAGATCGACAAACGAGGCAAAAAGTATTATGCAGGCTAGATAAAGCTAGCTTGCAACCGTCGCTAGATTGGGTTATGAAATGAATGCCTAATTTGAAAATAGTTAGCCAACTAGCTAGCTTACCATATTTGGGTTGCTTGAAAGTTGTCATGTTCAAAATGCGCACACACTTTCTGCCATGAAGAGTGACACTGCTTCTGCCTATCCAACTATACATAACATGCAGTCATGACACTTGATGAACGTTCTTCTTTTTAGTATTCTCGTCTATTAGCTAGCTACTAGTAGTAACTGTTTCATGACTGGCTGGCTATCCAACCAGCGAATCTGCACGATATATTTCTAGTCCTAGCCTCCAGAAATACATTGCAGTGGAGAAGCAAAGCAAAAACTATGATAATGTTCCCACTCACACTACGGACCCAGCATAGTTGTCTGTTTTTACAATGGCACAGGACACCTGCGTGCATGCAGTTATTGCATTGAATTAGCATTTTACCACCTCGGCTTCGTAGCTTGAAATAATTACTTGCTGGCTTTATACAAAGATCAGGCATCAACTCGATTATAGATAGAACACTTGGGTATTTAAAAATGTTATATTTAAGCCATTTAACACAGCACTAAAATTAATGCATTTCAATGAGATTCCTTTTTTTGTACCCTTTGTGGGCGGGCCGAATCTGTTGCTAGGGACGCACTGTTCAAATGTTTAAACTCGTCTTCCTCCATATGGACTGATGATTACAGACACAGGCAAGCATTCAAACTAAGTAGAACCAGACTGTTGGGTTCTCACCTCTGTTGGAGGCCAGGATTACTCTCATCCAGTAGAAGGGATCTGCAGAGTCCGAGGACATGATGCCAAAGAGGGGAATCTAGAGGACAGGAGACAAAGAGAAAGAATGAACCCAATAAACAGTACCCACAAGAGTTATAACCACACTCATTGAGTCATCATTACCTGTGGCCTTAACCATATTATCAGCTAGTGATAATAAGACCAAAGACAGGCAGGGCTTCTCTGCAAGCACCATACAATATATAGAATTACACAGAGACAGATGTTCAGGTCAGCAGATACTAACCTGGCAGCACACCAGGAAGATGAAGAGAGTGATGGCAGTCCATAGTACTTTTTCTCTGAACTGAATCTGTAGAGGTAAAAGAGGGACGTTATAGAAACATCACTAGAACTAAGACGGTTGAAGAGCTAGTGAAAAGAAATTGCAGTATACTATACCTTTCTCTCTGGTTTCTGAATCTCGGGTAAGACCGCACAAAACGGCTTTATGACTTCCAAAAATTTGACTGGAAAAAAACATGAGGTTGGTTAGTTTCTTTGGGGAAAAAACTACATACAACAGGGATTTAACATACACAGTAAAATAGGTATTGTCCTATGTGAACCAGTGAAAGATACTCAAACTTTATCAGGATGAAACATCACTCCCATGCATGCAAAAATTTGGTTCCACTCACATTCACAGACAAGGTCAACAAGCTACTAACTAGCTAGTTAGCTAAGTAAGGTAAACGAGTTAACTAGCTATATTGTATGTAGGAACAAACTAGTGATTGTGAAAGCAGATTAACAGAGGCAATAGAAATACAGTAACTACTGTAGCTAGACAGCTAACCTTAGGACTTCAAAGAAGTTGACATTCATTGGGAATGCCAATGTTGCTTATTCAAAACAATGTTAGCAAGCTAGCAGCAAACTACAGTCCTAATGTCTGATAACAGTTAAGTTACTGTCACATTCATTGCAAAGACTTGAACCAGGCAGTATCAGTGCTAATAGGTACTGACACTGTTACAGCAGACTACGCTAGCTAGTTACATTTCTTAGAATGACACCAAGACTGTAGAGGGTAGCTAGTTAGCGAATGTTGAAGGTGCACACAGCAATCTAAATGCCCCAAACAAGTGCCAAGGGTCAACTAGTTGTGGGCACTTCATGAGTCTCTTGTTAGCTAACGTCAGCGGCGACTGTACGTTAGCTGCCTCCTGCCGTTAGCTTCCCATTCCGTTAACTAACGAGATATATATATATAATTTTACAGTTAATAGATAAGTAAATGGTGATTTGTGTAACCCTAATTTGCTAATGTTAGCTAAGGACGCACCATAACTACTAGTTAACTACCCAAGTTACGGTAACTTTAGCTTGTTGACGACGTAACGGTACACCTGACGTTAGCATTGGCTAGTTAGTAGCAAGATACAATACATGTCCGGTCATAGCTAAACATTTAAAATATAAATCTAACATGCAATTCACAGGTACATCGACGTTAGAAAAATAACTCACTGCCCATGGTGTCCTTTATCCGATTCCTGTTGTGTTAAACTGGTGCCAATTGAAGGATCAGCACAGTTTGCGTGGCACCATCGAACCGCTCTGCACCGAAAAGGAAGCGCCGTAAAGACACGTCATCAATAAAGCGCTACTACACGTCAGATCTTCGAGCGTTCTTCGGTGTGGTGCTTTCACGACAACTGGGAACTCGGACAAAAACGAGGTCAAATCATGACGTCAGTGATAGTCAGGGAGGAAAGACGGAGCTTTAGAAATATGCCCGATTTTCCGACTTTGAATTCCGAGTTGGATGACCATGCAAAACGATTTTTACCCAGTCGTAGCTCTTTTTTTTTTTTTTTTTCGCGTTAGCAGTTGTCTTGAAGGGACTGAAGTCGAAGATTTCCGAGTTCCGTGCTCCCAGTTCCCAGTTGTTCTGAACGCTGCATAATTATCCTAACCTGCTACATTAATTATTCTAACCTGCTGCGTAAATTCTCCTAACCTGCTACCAAAAGTCAAATCTGACAAAAATGTATCCATCTAGTCAAAACAGAGAAATCTCAAATATGCGTTTGATTATGATAAAATAAGAAATATTACACTTGCAGGAAATGCAAAACTTCAGAAGAACTGCTGCCGGGTCATTAAAATGTATTAAATTATGACATGAGACTGCTCATTCAGTAGTTACCTTCACTGGAATTAAAATGTATGATCATGAACAAATTCAAATAATGTTTATTTGACTTCAATGATTTGGGAATGCAGAAAATGTTGTAGTTAACACTTACTGCCCATCAGGGGTCAGCATTATACAATTTTTATCACTGCATGTCTTTTTTTACAGCCTTCAGTGGGCGCTAGATACTGTATAATGCAAGCGCAGAGAAGTGAGCGACTTGTAAAGCGACTAAGTAAATACATGTGCAAATTTCAATAGTTTTTTTTTTAAATAAAAAATATTGGACAAAGATGAAAAGTGTCTCTCTATTAGACCTATACAATGTTAAAACACTCTAGAGTCGAAAGAGGCACCCGTGCGTGACTATTTATGCTATTGATTTACCACTTGTAGTGGCTGCAGCTTAATCACGTCTTTCCGCCGATATAAAGTTTGCGCCTTTTCCATACCATGGAAAGCAGCTTTTTTCTACACATGACACACATAGACAATAAAATCGTGTGTAAAACCCGAACCGAGCTACAAACTCACCACCTATCGAAAGATGATACTCTCAGAGAAGAGGGTAGGTGCCACCCAATATGGCGACCGGAGTATCGGTAAGTGGGTGTGTCGAAAGGAAAATTATGGGCGTGTGGAAAGCGCTCTGCTTTTGGTTAGATGGTTTTGATTGAGCTGTGTTTTTTCTTCAGTTTCTTACCATGCAGCTACCGTACATTTGAGATACCATCCTTAGAGAGTTTGGACTTCTGTTTTTAAGTCAGACGATGAGTCTGAGTCGTATTTTCAGTTATAAAACTAAAGATTGTTTATTTTTTATTAAAAGTATTGATGATGGGTGGTGTATTGTTGCCAAATGCGTTGTATGCGTGAGTTTACTGTGACGGTCACCCTGATATTGGCTACTGTATGTAGCTACCTCCCACGCCGTTGCCGGACAGTAGTGCTTGTCAAGAGGGAGAGAATGGCACTGTGTCCCGGTGTTGTTGCCATTCATGCCCTCACCATTGAGTAGTAGACTGTATGTATAAAGGTGACATCTAGACGGTTATCAATATTAGTTATTTATTGTGTAGGCTGCTATCCTACTTGAAATAAAATAATGTGTGAGAAAAAAATAACCATGTAGCTACCGCCAGCGACACGACCATGACACCAGGTAGGAAGCACTTCAAGTCGTAAGGCACGACAACGGAGCACTTCTTCTGTGAGTTTTATGGCGGACTACATCCAAAAGTTGTATTGCCGCCACCAACTGGATGGTTTGAAACCACAAAATATATTAAATACAAAATAAATCCATACTTAATAGTGATACTAACTTACTCCACCCAAATAGTACATTGCCAAAACAAACAAAACTCCCATTTCTTCCCTCTTTTAGTTCTCCATATCTCCCTTCTCAAATCAAATTTTATTTGTCATTTATGTGTTTAGCAGATGTTATTGCGGGTGTAGCGAAATGCTTGTGCTTCTAGCTGCAACAGTAAAGTAATATCTAAAGAGTAATATCTAACAATTTCACAACATATACCCAATACACACAAATCTAAGTAAGGAATGGAATAAAAAATATATACAGATATGGACGAGCAATGACAGAGCGACATGGACTAAGATACAGTAGAATATTATAGAATACTGTACATACATATCAGATGAGTAATGCAAGATATGTAAACATTATTAAAGTGACTAGTGTTCCATTTCTTAAAGTGGCTAGTGATTTCAATAGGCAGCAGCAGTCTCTAATATGCTAGTGATGGCTATTTAACAGTCTGATGGCCTTGAGATAGAAGCTGTTTTTCAGTCTCTCGGTCCCAGCTTTGATGCACCTGTACTGACCTCGCCTTCTGGATGATAGCGGGGGTGAACAGGCAGTGGCTCTGGTGTTTTTTCTTTTTTCTTTTTTTTTTCTTTATTTAACCTTTATTTAACCAGATAAGCCAGTTGAGAACAAGTTCTCATTTACAACTGCGACCTGGCCAAGATAAAGCAAAGCAGTGCGATAAAAACAACAACAACACAGAGTTACATATGGAATAAAAAAACTTACAGTCAAAAACACAGTAGTAAGTTATGTAGTAAGTTATGGAGGTAAGGCAATAAATAGGCCATAGTGCAAAATAATTAAAATTTAGTATTAACAGTGGAGTGATAGATGTGCAGAAGATGATGTGCAAATAGAGATACTGGGGTGCAAATGAGCAAAGTAAATAACAATATGGGGATGAGGTAGTTGGGTTGGCTAATTACAGATGGGCTGTGTACAGGTGCAGTGATCGGTAAGCTGCTCTGACAACTGATGCTTAAAGTTAGTGAGGGAAATAAGTGTCTCCAGCTTCAGAGATTTTTGCAGTTCATTCCAGTCATTTGTAGCAGAGAACTGGAAGGAATGGCGGCCAAAGGAGGTGTTGGCTTTGGGGATGACCAGTGAGATATACCTGCTGGAACGCATACTACGGGTGGGTGTTGCTATGGTGACCAATGATCTAAGATAAGGCTGGGATTTGCCTAGAAGTGATTTATAGATGACATGGAGCCAGTGGGTTTGGCGACGAATATGTAGTGAGGGCCAGCCAACGAGAGCGTACAGGTCACAATTGTGGGTAGTATACAGTGGGAGAAAAAAAAAGTATTTAGTGCCCCAATTGGCATGTTCTCCACTAAAAGATGGAGGCAATTTCATCATAGTACCGTCACTATGACAGACAATTGAAAAAAAATCAGAAATCCACATTGTAGATTTTTTATGATTTATTGCAAATTATGGTAACATAGTATTTGGTCACTACAAACAAGCAATATCTGCTCTCACAGACCTGTAACTTTCTTTGGCTCCTCTGTCACTCTTCCGTATATGGCCCTGTTGGTATCATATAAAAGACACCTGTCCAAACCTCAAACTCACACTCCAAACTCCCTATGGCCAAGACCAAAGAGCTGTCAAAGGACACCAGAAACAAAATTGTAGACCTGCACCAGGCTGGGAAGACTGAATCTGCAATAGGTAAGCAGCTTGGTTTGAAGAAATCAACTGTGGGAGCAATTATTAGGAAATGGAAGACATACAAGACCACTGATAATCTCCCTCGATCTGGGGCTCCACGCAAGATCTCACCCCGTGGGGTCAAAATGATCACAAGAACAGTGAGCAAAAATCCCAGAACCACACGGGGGGACCTAGTGAATGACCTGCAGAGAGCTGGGACCAAAGTAACAAAGCCTACCATCAGTAACACACTACGCCGCCAGGGACTCAAATCCTGCAGTGCGAGATGTGTCCCCCTGCTTAAGCCAGTACATGTCCAGGCCCGTCTGAAGTTTGCTAGAATGCTTTTGGATGATCCAGAAGAGGATTGGGAGAATGTCATATGGTCAGATGAAACCAAAATATAACTTTTTGGTAAAAACTCAACTCGTCGTGTTTGGAGGACAAAGAATGCTGAGTTGCATCCAAAGAACACCATACC